CAGCCCAAGCCCATGATCTTTTAGGGTTTCCCCCGTATTTAAGCAATTAAACTCGAATTTAGGGTTTCATTTCCAGCCTCCATCACCCTTTTGAGCCTTGAAGAAAACCATAATACTCTCCTCTTCATTTGTGAGCTTATCCTTAGTGTTTTGGGGCCCTTGGAAGGGAAAAAAGAAGGCCTTATGGTGTAGAGAATCTCTTCGCAAGCTTGGAGTTGATGTTTAAGCCATTTCTTGATCATTGTAAGTATCAAAGATCCAAACTTTATGATGATAGCTTCTAGATCTAGGCTTTTTATCCCTTTTTATTCATGTTATGGATGTTTGGAAGGAAGGAGTTGGCAACTTTATAGGTCCTTTAGGTCCCTTAAGGGTTGTGGTAGTTGGATCTGGAGTTTGGCTAGGTTTGGAAGTCATTCATGTGATTGTGGTTCCATTTCTTTATCATTTTGACCTAATATGAGATCAAGACATGCATGTCTACAAAGCATCGATTTTTAGAATGATTTTGAAGTAAAGCCTTTTGGGAAGTTGGAATGGAGGGCTCAAAGGATTAAGGGTTGAATGCATTAAGTTGTCCGATTCTCCCGTAGTCACGACGTGGCCATATGGTGGTCACGACGTGACGAAGTGTTTTCCCGGCTGTTTTGGACTAGCTTGGTCACGACGTGAAGGCATGGCCATCATGACATGACGATGGTTTTTGATCGTAGCTGAGTTGTTTGAATCAAGAGTTTTGGTTCGAGGCTGAGTTCATTGGCCACGACGTGACCAAAGGCTGGTTACGACGTGGGAAGTAGCTGTTAGTGATGTTAAGTGTTGACTTTAACTTTGACTATTGAGTTTTGGCATGGGTTGACTTTTGGTCAGTTTCTAGTTTTAGAAAATAGACTTAGGGTTTACCTTGTGTGGTTTTAGTAGGAGGTGTTTACCATCCGTTCATTGGCTGTGAGAGCTATTAGCTGTGGACTTCATCGGCAAGGTGAGTCTTCTCATTATACTATGTATGATGCTAGTTGTCTTTATGACTCTTGCATGAGTTATGGGTTGGGCTCGTTATATGTTGGGTTGGGTCTGTTGATATGATGGTTTAGGCCCGTTGGTATGTTGGGTTGGGCCTTTGATATGATGGGTTGGGCCCGTTGATATCTTAGGCTTGGCCCATTGATATGTTAGGCTGGGCCCGTTGGTATGCTAGACTGGGACCTTGTATGCTGGTCTAGGCCCGTTTGTATGTTGGGCTGAGCCCGTTGTATGGTATGTGGTATTTTAGGGAATTCACAAAGCTTTGTGCTTACGGTTTTTTGGTTTAAACATGTTCAGATAAGTTCATCTGCGATGGTCGGTGGTGTGATGGGGTATTTATATCAGAAAAAATGAAAAAAAAAACTACAACAAAAACCACCTGCAAACGTACAACTGCCAAATGCACGTCCACACTTTAAGCACTTGTACATTCATAGATGAGATGACAAAATCGTAGATGACACTAACCCCTCTACGATTTTAGTGACTATTTTTTGTAATTTTAGTGTTTTTTTTAGTGTTTTTTTTTTCTTCCGCAAAGAGATTATGAAAATAGCTATGTTAGTAATTTTCTCATAAATTAAGAATATAAATATTTTCATTCGATGGAAAATAGAAAACTAAAAAGTAGAATCCCATGTCTACTAACAATAATGATTCTTTTTCTAGTGTGTGAAAGATAGAATCCCCCGCAACAACAAAAAAGTATCAACGATGAGTGTGGGGTTGAACCATAAGATGACAATTATGAATATGTGTTGGTCTTACCTTTTCAATTTTCTTCTTTTCATTTATCTATTCATTTTTTAATCATTTATCTATTCATTTAATAATGCCTATTACATTAGTCCTCTTTTGGTTTAAAAGGAATAAATCATATATATTTAGTAATAAAAAATTAAAAATGTAATCTTGAATTAATATTTATTAATAACTATGTTATAACTTATAACATAATTGATTTTGAACACATGTTTTGTCAAATAAAAATTAACTAAAAATCTGTATTTTTTTTTAAACATAGAATATGTCTCTAGATTTATAGAGATTAGCAATCTTGGCAAAATCTATTAAACAAGTTTTTCCAAATGGGATCTTTAATAAATGAAATCATAAACCAATTTTTTTTAGTTAAAACTGAAATGTATTAAACGGATTGAAAATAATCCCTACTTTATTCTCCCAATAAACCTTATATATTAGTTTTACTGCGAACATTACCGTTTTTATTATATTTCAACCATTAATTATTAAAAAAAAAAATTAAGAAACAAAATATATCATTGAATTGACTTCAATTTACTTAATACTTTTGTATATGCATTAAAAAATATTGTTGTAACTCAAACTAATCTTGATATGTTGCGGAATGCGTTGAACTCGTCTACATTCCTATACATATTTGAGTTTATGATATATTGTGAAGATGTATACTTAAAAACCTAAGCATTTAGTAATATAAAATTTATGTATTTGCAAATATAATCAACCATATAACATTTTATAAATGTTCTTGAGTTACCTATATATAAATTGCTAAAGTATTACCCTTTTCAAAAAATGTAAATAATTTTTTTAGGAAAAATATATAAATTGCTAAAGTATTACCCTTTATATATGGCCCCACAAATCTCTTGAGGTGCCTTCCACCTAGCAGATAGCTCGTAATCTTTAAAGTGTATGAGATGAGCAATGAAATATTGATTAAAATATATAAATAATTTTATAATAAATAAATTATTAATTATCTAAAAAAGGCATGTGAATGACTGACTGGTCATGAGCCATGAAAGACCTTTACTTTGTTACTTGTTTCTCGTTGGATCAATGCTAATAGATTAAGAAATACCTTTTTAAAAGCAAATTTGGTAAAATATTGCAATCATTTTTATAATTTTTATATATCATTTTTAAAGATTATATTTCCATAAACGTAATTTATTATATGTAGATCATAGACAATGAGCAAAAGTATCATTGGTATCAAACCGAACATGTACCATACATATGTTAAATCGGTTCGGTACTCAATTCCTCTAAATTGTCAAAATTAAGCATTTTCAGTTTCATTACCATCACATTAGGATACATGATACCTCTTAAGATTCTCTTCACTTTTTCGTACAAGCTCCAAATATGCATAGCTTCATACAAGCTCAAGAAAAACTGATTTTTTATGCACATTCGACTATGTCTTGGCTACTAGTTAGGCTATAAAATCAAATTAATTTGATAACCAGTGGCTGTGTTACATCGCATTAAACAAGGGTTGTTATTGTAATTTTAGTTTGTGCAACGTTTTCCGTACTCTTAGAAAAGCTATAGCTCTCTCATACGAGCTCAGAATAAGTTGTTTTTTCCCTACATATTCTTGTATCTCTTGTCTACAAATTAGGATATGGAATCAACTTAATTAGATTAGTATTGACCGAGTTACAAAGTTTCAAACATGGCATGTTGATGCTCTTTGAAATTTGGCACAAATGGATGATAGTACTGAAGTATCAGTACTAGTATATCCTATTTGGTTTGTGATTCGGTACCTTCAATTTACATATTTTGGTTTTTCAGTACTTTCGGTTCGGTATCGGTTTGGTACCGAGCTTACCCCTAATGAATACAATAACATACAACAAAACACATAATAAACTGATAATAAAATTGCAAATTTGGTCCATGTGGTGATTTCTTTGGTTCCAATCCAATGAATTCTTAAAACTGTTGATTACTGGGCTATTTTTTGTACACTTATTAAAGTTGAAACTTAATGTTTAATATGTATGAAGCTTTTATTGTATAATATTTTATATAATTGGAAAAGTTTGGGTGTAAATTTGTGTTAACTTTATAGGTGTTACAAGTTGGTATCAGAGCATTTGTTCAAGTGAACTAGGCCGTGGAGTGTGGGATTCTAGACTTGAGCTGTGGGAAGGAATTTAAGATTGACCTCCAATGAGATGATGTGTGGAATATGATTTTGTGAATATTGAACATGTACTAGTTTTAAACAAGTACATGATATGTGATGTGGAATGAGAAGGAAAATTCATGTGAATATGAGCTAAATTATTGATTTTTGTTTTGAAGATGGTTAACACTCGGGATACACGAGGAGGTGGTCAAAGAGGTGGTCGTATAGGGTCTCAAGGTTCGGTTCGCCAACCAACCCGGAAGGACCTCCAAAGCAGCAACCAGGTCTTCGACAAATAATTGTTGAGGAGGTAGCAAAAGCTCTTAAAGAATTACTACCAACTATGACCACACCTCAAATTGAGGTGGTTACAAAAGCAACAACTGATCAACCTCCTATTATCATAGAAGGACAAAGGGAGAATGTGGATAATGGTGGATTTGTAAAGACAACTGGAACTACTTCTGTGGAAAACAAGGGAGATTATGTGTATAAAACTTCTATTTATTGTAAACCGAAGGAGTTTGTAGGAACTATGGATCCTGTGGTTGTTATGACATAGTTGACCCACACCGAAAATATATTTCGTACCAGCAAGTGTAAAGAAGAAAATAAAGTGGAATTTGTTACAAATATGCTCGTAAGGGATGCTCATTATTGGTGGGATATGGTTTCTAGTACCCTGGGAAGAGTTTGACTCGTACGTTGACTTATGCACAGTTTCGAGCTAAATTTGAAGAAGATTATTGCTCTCCTATTGTTATGAGACAGATAGAAGAAGAGTTTATGCACTCGCAATAAGGATCAAAGATAGTGCAACAATATACTGTTGAATTTAATAAAAAGGCTTGATTTGCTCGTTACCAGGTAGATACTGAAGCTAAAAGGATGGATCGTTACACCTTGAGACTCGTGACAAGAATTTATGAGTTTTTTCAAATAAACTCTTATAGTACCTTTCTTCAGTTAGTGGATTTTGCTCATAAATGAGAAATTAAACTTAAACGACAAGATGTAGTAAAAGAAGGTGATTCATCAAAACACAAATAGGAAAGTAGGTGGGATGGAAAGCAAGGAACAAGTTCAAAAAGCCTCCCAGTTCGGGTATAAATGTGGAAAGAAGAGGAATATGACACGTGATTTTCGGGAATCAGTTCGGACTTGTAATCGTATATGTTATGGTTATAGTGAGAGTGGACATATTTATTCTGAATGCCCGAAGGCGTCAAAAGAAATACCAAAATGGGTTGGTCGGGGTGATAGAGGAAATCCTCGGGAGGAAAGAAAGACAGATGTTGTGATAGGTACCTTCACTTTAAATTCACTCCCGGTTTATGTGATATTTGAGTATGGTGTAACATGTTCCTTTGTATTTGTTAAATTTGCTTCTCATTTAACAACACAATTAACCCCGAAAAATGAGCATATTTTAGTAGAAGTTTTAGACGGGAGATATGTATTGGTAAATGAGGAATATCATGAGTGTCGACTTGGGATTTACGGGACCGAATTCCTTATAAATCTTAAACCGATCACTACCAGAGAAATTTGATATTATCGTGGGTATGGATTGGTTGTCCCCCAATAATTCCCAAACTACGTGTAATCAACAAGTTTTATTGTTGATTCCCCCAAAAAGTCTTTAATTATGATTTGAGATGCAAGAAGAGGTGAAGAAGTTCATGTGATTTCAATGGCAAAGGCTCAAAAAAGTTTCAACAAGGGTGGTATATTATATATAGCGCATGTAAGTAAAATTGATTCTAAAAAGATTATTGGTGAAGTAGAAATAGTAAAAGATTCTCAAGATGTAATTTCGGATGAACTGTCGGGATTACCTCCCAGATCGTCAGATTGAGTTACTATAGACTTGATACCTGGCGATGAACCTATTGCTCATTCACAGTATCGTTTCGCACCTTCATAGATGAAAGAATTGATGGTACAACTATAAGAACTATTAAATAGTGGTTTCATTCGACCTAGCACATCTTCATGGGATGCTCCTATTCTTTTTGTCCAAAGGAAGGACGGTACGATGCGAATGTGTATAGATTATCATGAACCGAATAATGTTACAATTAAAAATCGATACCCGTTGTCGCGGATAGATGATCTTTTTGATTAATTAAAAGAAGTTTTATACTTCTCGAAGGTATATTTGAGATCAGGATGTCATCAATTGAAGGTGAAAGAATCCAATGTTCTAAAAATAACATTTCGGACCCGATATGGTCACTATGAATTCCTTGTAATTTTGTTTGAATTGACAATCGCCCCTACTGCCTTTATGAATTTGATGAACCGGGTATGTCGACCATTTTTAGATAAGTTTTTTATCACTTTTATTGATGATATTCTAATCTATTCGAAGAGTCGGGAAGAGAAATTATATGCAAAATTTTCAAAGTGTGAAATTTGGTTGAAAGAAGTCTAATTCCTTGGGCATGTCATTGGAAAAGAAGGCATTAAAGTTGATCCAAAAAAATTGAAGCCGTAATGAGATGGGAGCCACCGATGAATCTGTAAGGTCACACATTATGATCTGATGAGTCAAAAACTATACAAGCTATTTGTCAGCGTCAACATATACATCCATCAACACAAACATATCAAGTCCATCAGTTTCAACGTGTAGTCAGCACTTAGTATTGTTATTCTATGTAATATTTTGTATATTAGGCAATGATATAGATACGTATAGAATAGATAGCAGATCCAATATTCTTGTGATGAGGATCGATTCTTAGTATAGATTAGATGCAATCCCTTCAATCAAGGGATATACTTGTATATATTAGTATATAATCAACATTAGGGTAAACCGTAATGTTGAGTTCGTCTTGGTGACTGTCTTTGTAACAAACCATCTTCTTATTGAAGACAAACCCTTTCTTGGTGAAAGACAATTTGGAGAACTCCATATGTTATTTACTTTATGTTCTTTGTTTTCTTAGATCAATTTACTTTTTTTCTTTATACTTGAAGTGTATCCGATCTATACAAACCTTCAATTGGTATCAGAGCAGGTTTTTGATACACTCAAGTAATCATGTCGACCTCTTTCAATCCAAAATCAACTGTCTGCAACAAGATCCCTTCGTTTGATGAACACAACTTCTCTGCTTGGAAATCAAAGGCCATGGAAGCTCTCGAGTTCGTGGACTTTGATATGCTCGACATCATCAACAAAGCTCATGTCGCCGCTATGCATCAATCATCCAATGATGGTGCATCTGGTAGTAAGATGAAAGGGAAATATGTGCCTGGATATAACAAGGAAGAGAAAAGGGTGCTGAATGTCGATGTAAAGGCGAGAATTGCTATTGGAAACTCACTCCCTTATTTTGTCTATCGTTTGGTTCAAAACTGTTCAACCGCTCAAGCGATGATGATTACAATATCATCTTCTTTTGAAAAGGAAAACTCCTCAGATGATGAAGGTATGTGTCTCATGGCCCAGATCATTAAATCTCTCGCTGGCACTTCAATTGACAGCGATGGGACTCTTGACGCTGATCTTTCTCAAGCTGTTGCATACCTTAAGATAGAATGGGACGCTACATCAGCGTATCAGGTAAAAAATCCCGTTAACTACTCTTATGTCGAAAACATAAAAAAAATGACATGATTGATCAATTACGTTTCGACTTATTGGTATTAAATAAAGAAAGATCTTCTCTCATTTTTGAGTTAAAGAAAATAAAATAAAAACTCTCTTTTTTTTTGAAAAATCTCTTTCTATATTAAAAAAGGAAAACACATCTATCTCGCTGACCAATAACTTTCTTCACACTGAAAAATAGAAAGTTTTTGATCACGCTAGATGCATTCAACTTATTTTGAAAAATTGGGGCTCTTCTCACTTTAATGTCACAAGAATTATTAATGTTCATATTCCAGATCAGTGTGAGAAAATTCTTAGAGGCGATATAGAAGGTGTTGTTTCCTTAACCAAAGTTGTTGAGACTAAACAAAGCTTCTATAAAGCTGACTGTTTAAAAGAAGATTTTAAGAATAGATTTGTGAGCTCTTATTTTATCAATCAAACTTTAATTGATACCCACTGCTCCATTGATTCTAACGGTATCACCAAATGTGTTTCTTGATTATTTTCTCTTGATCTTTCTCATCAAACTTCTCACCGTGATTATGTTCTTCCCTCTGCTAAGATTTTGTTAAATCTTCCTATATGCAATGGTGAAGTTTATTCAGTAAACGAAATTCTTAGCAGTTTTCCTCAGTGCTCCGTTAGCAATTCTAAACCTGAAGATCAATCAAAGTCCTCTACTTCTAATGACTCCTTAATGATTTATGAGACCCATGACAAGGTATCATCTGAGAATACCATCGATGACATTCCTTGTTCCAGAACTAAAACAAGAACTCTTAAATCAAATTGTCAAAGTTCTTTGGATTCAACAGTTGAAAAGAAATAAAAAACTATTATTAAAGGAAAGAATCCTAGAATCAAAGTTTGTTATCGATGTGGCGATGTTTCTCACAAAGTCAGCGGGTGCACTTTTGAAAAGAACTTCGTTCGCACTGACAACATCATGACTCGTAATGATAAGTGGATCAAAAAGGGAAACTCGTTGAACTGTCTCCCTGATGATTTGTTGGGTATTTAGTGTTACGTGTTTATGGGCTTTTTGTATAGTCTATTTGTATCCGGGTTGGGCCTGTCCACCCGTCATTTACTTTTAGAGTTGTACTATTTAAGCTGCATGCATGCATCGTGTATTAGTTAATCGTGTCATTATAAACCCTACATAGCCTCTACAGTAGCAGTTCTTTATCGATCTCTTCTGAGGCTGTGACTTTTAATCATTCGACACATTCTTGCTTTATATTCTGTGTTTGATTGCTTTTTCCTGTTTGAATCTATTCGATCTATAGAGTTTTAATCTCAACTATTGGTATCAAAGTAGGAGACTGTGTAATCTATACGCATCTCTTCTGTTAAAGAGTTTTTAGGGTTTCCGCTATTATTGAATCTGGTTCAGCCGTTATCATTGTTATTGACGCTGATATTTGATCTTAATATTACCCAAAAGCAATTTTAGTTTACACATCTGATTCATACATGTTTTAATCGATCTTTAAACATGTCATACGATTCTCGCATTAACTCCATAAATATTTCAAGCATCACTGGATCTACAACTAGAATCCCTATTCTTTTCCCCAGTGATTATGAAGTGTGGGCGTTACACTTTGAAGATTACGTCCTAGGGCTTGAAGACAATGGCTATCTGATATGGGAAGCCATTACTGTCTAGAAGTTTGCTCATACAGGAACAAGAAGAGAAATCAAAACTCAAGCCGACTACAACAAGCTTCTTCTTGATGTAAAAGACATACCACAAGATGAGAAGGATAAGCTGATAAGCAACGTTAAAGAGATGAGGATCATCAGGTTTGATTTGCTACCAGACACTTATTGTTTGGTGAGTTCATGCGACACAGCAAAAGCCACCTGGGATAGTCTCAAGGAACTATACTCAAGTGATGTTGATCTTGAGCATTCTACTCAAACTCTACTGCTTTCAGAGTTTGGAGCCTTTGTACAAAAGCCTGAAGAGAGTCTAGATCAAACTTTCAATCGCTATAATCATCTTCTCAGTAGGATGATGAAGCACAAGATTGGACATGAACTAATTGATAAAAAAGTCACATTAATGAACGGGCTAAGATCTAAATGGAAGGCCGTAGTTTCTACCGTAAAAGAACATGAGCAGTTCAAGAATTACACGTTGGCAAAGCTTGTTGGAATATTGAGGTCACATAAAGATGAAGTGACGAAAGAGGGGAATTTAGTTTCTGGGATGGGATCACTGGCCCTTGTTGCAAAGGGTAAAAAGGTTGTAAATGATGATGGTTCGGAATCTGATCTCTCCGATTGTGAACTTTCTAAGGAAGAATTTGCTTTGATGGTGTCTAATCTAAAGAAATTTGCAAAGAAGAACTTTAGTCGCAATAAAAACCGAAACTGGCAGGGCAGTTATAGCTCTGAAAACGTAAAGGAGGAGAGTGCGAATAACTCTCAGAAAGAAGAAGCGAAGAAGGATAAAAAGCTTGTGGGAGACTCCGGCTATGATTTTAATTACTTACATGGCAAAAACCATCTAGCCAAGGAATGCATGCTGAGAAGAAGGAATGAGAAGAAGGAAGGAGAGGATGACAAGACATACTGTCTCCGAAAGCTGGAGGAGATTAAAAAGAATAAGAACGCTGATAACACCATGACTTCTTTGATTGTGCAGGAAAACGAAGCTGAAGATGAGTTTGGCAGAGTCGAGGTCTGGTCGACTGACTCTGAAGATGAAGAGGTTCACAGACCTACTCATGGAAAGAGCTTCGTGGCGAAGGATGAAGTTTTGCAGTTTAATGGAAGGTGTTTGATGGTTACCAATGAAGTGTCAGAGATGAGGGGTTATGCAATTGATGGTGGACGTAGCGCTCATAGCTGTTTCGCTGCGAAACCAGTTCTTGAGCAGATAAGCGAGTGCGAGCAGGTGATCAACAAGGTAAACTCTATTCTTGACTCTC